GAGGGAGGGGGTAGATACGTCATGTGGTGATGAGGGAGGGGGTAGATACGTCATGTGGTGATGAGGGAGGGGGTAGATACGTCATGTGGTGATGATGGAGGGGGTTGATACGTCATGTGATGATGAGGGAGGGGGTAGATACGTTATGTAGTGGTGAGGGAGAGGGTAGATACGTCATGTGGTGATGAGGGAGGAATGTTCGAATGATTTCCCTCAAAATAAGCTCCACCACCCCAAGTGCATCTAGCGAGCATCGAATTGTTATTTAACAAAACAACATCTCTTGGGCTTCCGACAAGCCTCACACCCCGACCTGATAATTACCCGGTTAAACGTCCACGCACGGTCTCCACTACACACAATGAATTCCACTTCCATTTCCTCGAAATCCGAAAAAGTTAGTTGTATATGTTTGAGCGCGTACACGTGTGATGCTATGACACGTATGTATCGCGTATGTACTCGTTACATAATCACTGCTACGCAATGTATATGAGAACGATGTTTGTACCTGCGCGCACAAATCTGATTCTACCATACGGTCTGGGTTCTCTCACTAACTAGCCATATCGCCGTGGTGTTAGCTGCGAAGCTACCTCGTCGCGCAATTCAGGCACGTCGGAGGCAGAGAGCGCTGCGTGCATGCGTACACGGATCATTGCTCCACGCGCCGAAAAGACCACACTAATTACTGCACTTATACGTAGCTTACGTACGCTCACCATACCTTTTCGTTTTACGTTATTAGCGCGAGGGATACCACATAACTGAACTGCATCTTTGCATTACGTTGGATTTGTCCTTTGGGTGGCGGACAAATCCAAAAGATGGAAGATAGAAGAAGGCGATAGAAGGGTCTATACCTTCACGAACATGGCAGACCGGCGGACAATGGCGTCGGATCGCATCGCGCCCAGTAGTAGTCAGGTTTCAGCGAACACCTAATGTTTACACGCCCGCCCAACCGCACGCGCGCGCGCACACTCAAACAAATTAACACACACACACACACACGCACACGCACACGCACACGCACACGCACACGCACACACACACACACACACACGGCTTCTAGTCATGGGACCCCTCCCATGGCGGAGGGGTCCCATGCTGTGGGGGCTGCTCTCTTCTCTTACATTATTACATTTCACAGTTTCCCGGTGCACACACGCACCGGTACAGGCACACGAACACACACGTACGCACATGCACCGGTATAGGCACATACAGGCACTTGGAACGACACACACGCACACCCACACACGCTTCGGTACAGGCACACGCACACACACGCACACGCACACACACGCACATTCACACATGAACACGCAGATACACACACACGCACACACACGCGCACACACACACGCACACGCACACACACGCACATACCCACAATCCGCACAGGCACAAGCACGCACACACGCACGCGCGCACACACACACGCACACACACATACATACATACATACATACATACTTCATACAGCCTACGTGCACGCATCGCGCATAACCAGTATGTCTTCCGTCGCCTAGCCTTATTGCCTCCTATAGTCTTATCGTTATCGTTCCTATCACGCCATTCGCCTCAAGTCCCCAGCCGTACACATCTCCTGTTTGTTCGCTGTCAACATCACGCTCTTTTCACGTTTGCAACTTTGTTTGCGATTAAATCCACAGGCACTTGGAACGTCTCAATAAAAAAAGGAAATAAACACGAAATGTATTTACTGTAAATGTAAATACATTTCGTGTTTATTTACCTTTTTTTATTGAGACGTTCCAAGTGCCTGTGAGTAAATCCCTCGGCGGGTGTGCGGGGAAATGAAACGGCAGTGATTCGTTTCAACTACGTATACCGACACACGTGATATATGCTAAGAGATTTTCTGCTGATGTAACGGCGACTATTGCTCTGCCGACATTTTCCGACATCGTTATGCGGGCTGGCTGTTGCTCGTTGAACCAGACACACGCACGCACACACCGCAAATCGTTAACCTTGTGTAATCACAAGGACGGCGCAGTTATAGGAACGGGTCGCAGGTCACTCGTGATCAAAGGCATAGCATGACCGGCTGGCGAAATTTTGGTTCCCACTTGAGTTCCGGACCCACCATAGATAGTGTTTTGTAATATATGGTTCGTATATATATGGTTGGATTATAGTTAGTGTTAGGGTTAGGGTTAGGGATAGTTTGTATTCACTTTACATTGTTGCTTCGAGGAAGTCGAGTGAATGGAGTGCGCTGATTGGCTGTGGTCCGGAACTCAAGTGGGCGAAAAAAATTTCGCGTCCGGCTGCCCCGCGCTTGAAACGACGTAGCACAATTCACATGCGCGCGCGCGT